ATTTAAATAACAATTGTCTTTTTGAAAAAGATCACTCTTTAGCAAATAAACATTAGAGTGTTTATGGGAAAAGGGATCATAACTTACTTTGAACTAGTTCAGTAAAATATGCAAAGCTTATCTACCTACCTGCCTACCTACCTATCTACATATATTTAAATAGAAATAAATAGAAATGTAGGTAATATTAATAATATGGGCAATGTAAGGGAGATTTATTGACAGAGAGATATTTGTACTATTTCTACAATTATACTGTTATCTAAAATTATGCCAAAATAAATTGGAAAAAAGATGATGTCAATAAAGAATAGAAATTTAACATAATCTAGAGATGTCCTAATTAATTACTTAGATCATGAAGTTATTCTTGATAAATAATTTAAAGTATGATTTAAATAGAAGCTTGCCAGCATAATTTGAGCAAAAATGAGACATGGGACTTCAATTATTTACTCTATGGGTAACCATACTCAAACACAATTAGCCAAGAAAGTGACAAGCATTTCTTGAAAAATTTTTTTCTTTTGTTTCAATCAATAAAAAGTAGATAGATACAAATTAAAGGTTTTTTAATTAATTGTTTTCAAACTTTATTTTATTTCACGCATACAAAATCATCTGATTTCTTACCTCTCACAGCTCTGTGAACATAATAATGTGTGCAGGTATGTACAATTATATCATTATAAAGAGCTATAATACTGAAAAACATTGCTTTGAGCCATTTTTGTTTCTATAAATAGAATTGCCTGATAGATTATACTTTTAAGTCTATTACAAGGAGAATTTTCCCACTTGTCTTAGAGATACAGTATGAACCACCACATGCTATTTTTGTTAATGATTTTCCACCCTTAAAGAGTTTGTCATTGTATATATAGCAAGTTTTAAATTGGAAAGCTGCCAAACTGTCTCTAATTTAAGCTTTGATGTTACAAATGAATCTCTTGGTAAATATCATAAATCATCCCGTGAAAATATCAACACGTCTAAATGCCATATCTAAACAATTTTAGGTCCAAAGTATCACTAAACAAAAAGTTTAATCAGTCAGTAGACCAAAGCAAGCTTCAGTTATTTTCAGATAAACTCAGCTACATTCTCAAAAAATATATACTCCAGCTCTATCCATCACCAGAATAAGTTTCCCTTCATGAATGTATATATGCTTCCATTTCTTAAGAAATACTTTGTGACCAATCATTCGGCCTTCTATACAGTGTCACTCATGCGAAGTCCGATCATACACTGAAGTCAGAGCTTGCCAGTGGGTGCTACAAGGAAACAGGCTACCTATGCAGTAACAGTGTATTTTATTGGTGGTGAAAATATTCAGCAAGCCAGAATAATCTTTTCTTATCCAACAGTAAAACATCTTCTTCATTCAAATAAATTCATACTCACATCCCAACTGATTTATTTGGTAAGAGGTATAAGAAGAGGAATTATAAATTAATTTAAACATTTATCAACAATATTAATTACTTATTTATGAGTGTTTTAGCACACCCCAAAACAGAGGTTTAAAGTAATCATTTACTTGCTCACAATACTGGGAATTAGCAACATGGGCAGAATTCAGCTGGCATGCTTCATCCCTACTTCTCATGGTATCAGCTGGACTCATTCATGCTATGATGGTCAGTTGGCAGTTCATCTCATTGGCCCTGGATGGCTTCACCTACATTATTGGCACTGGTTGGGGCTGTGAGCCAGTGCATGTCAGTTCTTTCCATACGACATCTCCTGCAGGCTGCCTTGGACTTTCTTCTAGAGCTTTTGATTTCCAAAAAGGCAAGAACAATGGCTGGACATCCTCTTGAGTCTGGGTTTGGAAGTTCTTCAGCAAGTCACCAGGCCAGCCCCCAATAAAGAGAAGGGAAACAGACTCCACCCCTCCACAAGAGGAATTGCAAAGTCCTACTGGAGAAAAAGAATGTAATAGAGATGAGAAAAATTGTCACAACCATCTTTGCAAATAATTTGTTGCATCGACATATAAGTATTAGATTTTTTCCTTAAAAAATAGCTCTAATACTGACTTTGCAAAATTTTCAGCAAACAATTCCCTCTCCTTCACAATGTTACCATTACTAATAGTTTAATTTTAAACACTTTGAAATATTTGACTTGAGTCTAGGCTATTTGTTTTCTATGTCCTTTTTAAAGAATGGAGTGACTCCTATCAGTGTCCAAGGAATCACTATTCATCTTTCCACAAGGAGTAAATCCTGCTGTGTGTGGATCTGTCTGTGCACCACACCTGCACCCTCATGTCACGTACAAAATCCTAGTGTTGAGCCCTTCTATTACTAAATTTTTACATTTCTACCTCTTCTTTTAAATCTCTCTCTTTTTTCACATATTTCACCTGGACAGTACAAGTGTGACCCATTGCATTTTAATAAAGCAGTCATCAGGGGGTGGAAGGATAGAGCAAAAATGAAAAGAATTCATGGACATGGACAATGGTGTGGTGATTCTGCGTTGAGGGAGTGGGTGGTGGTAAAAGAGGCCATAAGGGAAATAAATAGTCATGGAAAAATACAATAAAAATCTGCAAAAAATTCCTCTGGATGCTTTTTATGACAGCCATGCTGAAATCAAAGTGGAGGGCTCTTTGAGAATCATTGGAGATGGTGAGAGAGCTCTCTATCTTATTTCGCTTATTTTATAATTCATCTTGCTAGTATGTGCCAGAAATGAGAAGATGGAGCAATCAAAATAACATGTAGTCAGAGTAATTCAACCTTAGATCTAAAAACTTTATCAAACAGACTTCATAACTAAGATAATAGGACAGGAATTTGAAGCTGGAATACGATTTCCCCCAACCGCAGGCACAGGGGAGATTTTCTTCCCATCCTCACTTTTGAAGATCAGGGCTTCAGTGTCTGCTGTGTCTCTCATAACCACAGGCATAAAGCACATCTTGTTGGAGAATGATTACAAAGGTGATGGTACAAATATGTGGTTTTAGGAAAATAAGCAGCTTTCCGAGACAGATCATTACATTCCCAATCTCATTTCCATCCTGCTTCAAAGTTCCAAAAATTTCAGGTGTGTCTATCCACTTGGAAAGCAATATTATTTAGAGTACTAGTTAGACTGATTTAATGGTGTTTACACCAAGATAGAATGTTTATTTCATTCACACAAATGCCTGAGAAAGAGGTCAGTCTTGTTCCATGATGGGATCCTAAGATAATGGGATACTTTCATTTTACCATTCCACAATGCCCAGTTCTGCTTAGTCCAAACTGGACCCCCAAACTAAGTCCAGCCCTAGGGAGGGGAGAGGTCACAGGAAGCAGAGGGCAAGTACCTTTCTTTTGGTGACATGGTCCAGAAGTTGCACACATCACTTGGTATACCTGCCATTTGCCTTAAATATGTACTCAACACAACAGTTGTGTAGGAATAATCCAAGAAAATAACTGTAGATATATATTAAAATTTTGCTATAATTGCAATATTATATTATTAATAATGTGAAAGAAACAACTTTATAAATCCAATAATAGGTGATATATTAACATAGGTTATTAAAATTAATATTAAAACCTAGTTTTGCCCACTGGAGTCATTATATTATTTAGAATATCTGAACATATGTTTTCACAGAGACCCAAATAACATGGAAGAAATGGAAAGAATCACTGAGTGAAAAAAGTCAAGTATAACATAAATGGGGTTTTAGTTTATATGATCTTATTAATGTGTATTTTTAATTGTAAAATTTAATGATAGAAAGTAAAAGTATCAAAAAGAGATTAATGCAGAACACAGAATTCTAATATTCTACGAGTCTCACTTTTTATAAAACAATCCTTTATCTCCAGTGCAGGAGGAGTGTATGACTAAGGAATGACACTTTATTTTTTCTGAATCTATTTGGTTGAATTTTACCACAATTGAAGAAGGAATATAATTTGGCTACTGCAAGCTCTTTAACTGCAGGAGATTTCAGAATGTAATCCATCAATTTGGAAATTCCGAACCCAAGTAAATAATTTCAGGGCTGCTTGCTCCTTTCTTGAGGTATCTTTTCTCCTCTAACATAGGCTCCCATTAACGATTTGCTACCTTTTATAAAAAGGCAACAAAGAGTTATCCTGTATATTGGCTTGAAATAAGGCAAAAACACGTCAACTTGCTGCCTAACTGTAATTTTAATGAGACTATTATTGAACAGGGACAGCATAAAACAGCAAATTGAGAGTTGCCAGGAATGGCTAAAATATCTGCTTGTTAAAAAGATCTGGCTAGAACGACAGTAAGGATTTTCTGGCTAGGTTCTTTTAATACTCACAGTGGCAGAACCACATGACACCCATTTATTTGAACATCAGATTTCATTAAGGGGATGAAAATATAATCTCTTAATAGATTTCTTTCTTTATGAAGTGCTTGATTATGATAACTTCATCGTGTTCACAAAATGGATTATGTCTCTTGTCCCTGTACTTACTAGGGCCTGTCTAGTATACAGCCTGTCAACATTTCCATTTCAATCCTAATGTTTCATGGGGATTTGATTCTACTGAAAATCAGCTGCAGGCACCCACTTAGTCCAAAATTATTTTTATCTTGTTTAAGTCAAACAGTTCTGTAGCAGTTAATCCATTCTTAAGGAAAGAAGGCCAAATTTGGTCCTTGTCTGTACCCATCTGTACTTTCTTTTTCTTCCTCAAATATTCTTAAATCTCCAATTAGAATTTGAAATTTCCAATGTCTGTAATGACTGAGAGGCTATTTTGCCTGTCACTCATTGGCCAGCAAAGACCCTGAGACACAATTTTCTCTGTTCCTGCTGAGAGTGTAATAGTAGGATCAGGCTAATGCTTGAATGACTCTCTCCCTTGGAATAAATTATGGCTGTTCATTTGTAGGCAAAATTTAACTACAGAAAAGCTTGCTTTGCTTCCATGTGCTGTAAGATAACTGGTATGATTTTCCCTTGCTAAAATAACTCAGTATCCCATACATACTTTCAGATAAACAGTACGAGAAAGGCCCGAAATGTCAATCAAGGTGGAAGAACCAACAGCTGGAAACTATCTCAGCTTCTGTAGATATACTACAGGTTAGAGGTGGAACAGCCACATTCAGGAATAATAATGATAACAGGAAACAAAAGGATGTTTTTATTAAGTCTAGGGATGTTTGGGCAATAAAATATTTGTAGGATAAATCCTGGTGCTTACAGAGGTTTTTTTGTTGTTATTATTATTTGTTTATTTGTGGGTTTTTTTTTGAGAACTGCAAAACTTATAAGAAATGATAAGGACCTACTGTTTTTTTATTGAAATTGAACAAAACAGTATGTTCCCACAAGAAATTTCTAATAAGTTGGAGATGCAGTTTATGTTCTTTTGTTTTTAATGTATGTGTTGTTAAAATTAGCTCCTCCTTTTAATCTACACTTTTAGTATAAATTCTTTTTCTATTTGTCAACTCTGTTAATTGTGTGCTTGATAGATTTCCCCATGATAAATTTAATTATCGTACAAGTGTAAAATTGTTTTAATAAAAAATAATTTAAAATAAGTGATTAGTATAAAAGATAGATTGTATGACTATCTCAGTAGCTGAAAAGTTTTTTGATAATAATATAAATTATTTTTGAAAAACATAGCAAAGTCAGAATAAAAACATCACAATACCACTTAAAAACCTTTAGTGTTTCATTACAATGTTAATACACTTAATGCCACTAAACTGTACACTTAAAATAATCAAAATGGTAATTTTTACATTTTGTATATTTTAGCACAATAAAATACATATAATTTTATTAAAGAATGAGTTTAAAAAGGTACATTTAATTATGTCACATATGTAGCATATACTCAAATTATTTACTAAGTTATTTTGAGTCATTCAATAAAAGTTTAATAGTTAATACTATCATGTTTAAGCACTATAATAAATGCTAGAAATATGTTTTAATAACCACTTTTACTTTCTAGACATGGTTCCAAGAACTTCATATTATCTCATTTAATTTTTACAACAATTATGAGCTACACTTTATCATTTGTATTTTATAGGTGAAGTGCCTAGGACTAAGGGTACTGTAATTATGTGCCTAATGCCTCACAGCTAGAACGTGATGATGCTGCCGTTAACACCCAGGTCCAACGGACTCTGAAACTGATGTTCACAGCACTCTTGCTGTAGTGCCTCCTGTGCTTCCATTCACTAAATCTCACTGGCATAAATATAAAATAAAAAAATAACTAAAACAAAAATGTCTACATTCTAATTCCAGGAATCAGTAATTTTTTTTTGAAAAAATGTCTGTACAGGTATAATCAATTTAAGGATTTTGTAATGAAAGAAATTATTCTACATTACCCAGGGGATGCTAAATGTAATGACAAGTGTCCTTGTAAGAGAGACACAGAGGAGATCTGACAGAGAGAGAAGGGAAAAGCAACCACGGGGGCAGAGATTGGAGTGTTGCTGCCACAAGCCTCGCTATGCCTGGGGCCACCAGGAACTGGAAATGGTAAAGAACAAGATATCCCTTCAAGCCTTTGAAGGAAGTTTGATTTTGGATTTCTGACTTCCAGACTGAAAGAATAATTTTTTTGTTTTTTTAAGAAACATATGTAGGAAACAGCAACTTTATTCATCAGTTTTGTTGGTGAAATTTAGGGACATCATCAGTAAAGTGAGGAAAAGACAAGAATGCCCATTGTCACTATTTCTATTCAGAGAATCCTAACTAATCCAGGAAAGTAACACAAATCAGAGAAAACAAATCACCAAACTGTCCTTTTCTGAAATCAGTGGGGAAAAGATGTCACAATAATCACAATTCATCATTTTTTCCTAATGAGTGTGGATCAGGCTGCCATTTCTCATTCTCTGTAGCACTAGAATACCTAAGAGTCCTGAGGGACAAAGCAGACTGTTTCGCTACCCGCCCTGCTTTTTAGCTTTCCTTCTGTACTTCGTTGAATGTCTGCCTCACCATTCAGCTGACTCTGACTCTGCTTCCCCTGATTAGAGAGAATTGCAAAGTTCTATGATCATCAGAACTGGTAATCAATCTCCTGTTAAATCATTATATTTCATGGGCACAGGAATCATTGTTTTAATTAATTGTCATTGCAGTGGATATGTTATAAGTACATTAAATCAACATTCCACATTACTAAAAGTAATTTACTTTTAACATGTGATATATTTGTTACTTCAGATATTAATGGAAATTTATATCCCTATTTTAATCGAATTATAGCACAGCGCATTTCTTCAGATAAGATGACCACAGAACAAGTCTAGGTCCACAGCTTAGTAATAATATAAGTATTAGAAATTGAAATTGGAGGAATACTTGGAAACTGCATGTTGAGCTCTCAAAGGTCTTGTTATGTGCTCAAACTGTGACTACCCATCTTCTTTTCTTGAATATAAAGAAGAAACTAGTAAGCGTCCAAATAACAAATATGGTCACATTCTTCCAGAGTTTGGTAATGGATAGAATCTACCTCTGTGATTAATTAGCTCTGTGATTTGGACAACACATTTCACGTATCTGCCACTCAGATTCTTCCCTCTATAAAATGATTAGATTGCTTTAAGTGATGTCTCAAATGCTTTTCATTTCAGAAATTCCTTCAGCATCTGGGCACAAAGGGATGATATCTGCTATTGACAAAATACTTTTTATCTAGAATAATGCTAAATGTTTTACCTTCAATATTTTATTAAATCATTATAGATCACTTTTCTGAGGAAGAAAGTGTAAGCCCAATTTTATTGGTGAGGGGACAAAAGCCTAAAGACATTATACAACTTGATAAAGTCATACAGTCATAAAATAATGAAGGCAGAGTTCAAACCATGGAAAACTTGAGTCTAAAATCTGTACTCACATTCACCATGTCATTCTACAGGCATTCAACCTTAATTTCACTGATTTAGTAAATGTACTCAGCCAGTGATCCAGTTATTGTAAAGTGTTCTAGCCAGGTCTGTACAATATGCCCAAAAGGCAATAGTCATAACACTGAGGTTGCAACCATCATTGGTCATCTCTCCAGCCTTGACCCAAACTGAAGTAATAGTGAAACACACATCCCAGCCTAAAAATGCCTATATTCCTTTACCACTAGAGGTGTCATCATCATGATATCATATATCATCCCATTCCATACCAGGTGTTTGTTTACCATGATCACTGTTTAGTTATCTCTATGTCCCACAAAATGTAAGTTTAACAGGGCAAAGATATTTTTATACTTTGTTTATTGAATTCCTAGCACTCAGAATGTAGCTAATATATGACATGTTCAATACACATTTATTGAATAAAAGAATAATCAGGGATAGATGTTTGTATCAGAGTTTATATGCATACATAAGTGAGTTATATGATTGAATTAGAATTACAATATGTAAATAGTTCTCTTTCCAATCATTTTTCAATAAATCTTGTCTTATTTACAAGTCAGGTTGAATTGTAAAGCTATAGAAATAAGATCTGATACCTTGGCTGTTGAAGTTGATTATAGCCATCCCGTCTCTCTGGGTAGATCTAAGTATACCTCTTACAGCAGAGTATTTAGCAAGGCAGAATCATTGTCTTTTCTGTCTGTGTGCTCCACATGTGACACCTGGACCTCCCAATAGTCTAAGATAAAGTTAGTGTCCTAGCACACTCAGAAATATCCCATTCAGATAATTTACCCTAATCAAGTGTTAAGCATTCAATGTGTTTTTATTGATTGATTCTAAATTGGAGCCAACTTATTTCAAATTGTCTCTCTGCCTGGAAAGTTTCAAGTGAGATTCAATATATGACAGGTCTTTCGGTTTCCCAGTTTAGTCACAGTATTGCCTATGATTCCTACTATCTCGTTAAGTACACTTGAGCCAAAAACAATGGACTCTGCTTTGAAGGCATGACCATGTTGCTTGCTGAGACTCATAGAATGAAACCTTTTAAAACTGCTGCCATTTCAGTCCAGAAGCTAGTGACAATCAATGAAAAATGACCCATTAAGTATGTTACAATCTTTGTAACTACCCTGTACCTTCTTAGAGATTAAAGTCTATAATTTGGTGTAAATTTACTTTCCTACCTTAAGTTAGATTATTTCTAAGCCAAAAGCTTTTTTTTTTCACCAAAAGCTTGATATACAACCACAATAACCCAATTAACATTTAATTAAATTGTATGGATTGAGTTGTATTTTCTGTATCAAACATGTCTCCCCAACATAGGTGAATCTGTGGAGAAGAGACAGGAAATGGTTACACACTTAGAGATCTCACAGACACATGTACAGTTGTGATATTGTATAATTCCCCGTGACCGGAGAAGTCACAGAGAGCCTGAGTTACTCTATGGTCTCTATTTTAAAAACCTTCATCAAGTACATTTGGAAAATAGACCATAATATACAGCCAAATATTCGCCACCATTCCTTTTCATCCTTTCATCAAGGAATGAAAGAAATTTAATTGCAAGAAAATAATACAAAAAACTTCAATTCCATTTCTATTGAGTATTTGCAACAGGAATACCAGCTCTAATTCTCTCAAGAGGTAATAATAAAGAAGGTAGAAGAGTATCTGACCAGATCTAATGAGACTTCTTGCACCATTTTATAAGCTAGATTTTATGTTTTTATTTGCCATAGATTTGGACTTAAAGTCTTGACTTCTTGCAAGTTTACCATTTTAGAGCCTTCTCATTGCCGATTATTTCATTATTGAGCCCCTTGAAAAAATATCTAAGATATACTACATATACTGTCTAAGCCAGGAAAAAATTCTTCACGATTTCTTTCTCAGCATCACTTCTATATTTCTCCTCCTCCACTTCCTCCAATGTATTCCTGCCAACATGAAAAACAAACAAAAATACCCATCAGTTATGTTTATTTTAAAAGCATGGATAGCATACCTAATACAAGGCATAAATGCAGGATATAAATTGATCAACACATTGGGCAGAAAGAATCCCCAATTGTCACCGTGAATTAGTAATGGTAATAACAACAAAAGCCACTCACTGAAGCCCTTTATTCTGAGCTAGTTATTGTTGGCAATGATTTGAAACTTATATGTAACTGTAAAAGAAAAATGGAAGGTTATAAACATTATCCTTAAATCTGTGCTAAAGTTTACTAAAAATAATAACACAAGTCAGAATTAATTTCTAACTTTGACCAGTTAGCACAGTATAATAGCACGAGGGTCTGAGCCAGCCAGCCACACTAAGTAAAGGCTGTGCCATCT